TGGTGTTCTCCTTGGTGGCAAAGGCATCCACCTGTGGGCAGCCGAATGCTTTGAAGACAGAACTCAGGTACTTTCGATTGAGAGACCATTCATTCTCATCTGAGACTGTCCTGCTGAGGAAGTTCGCCTGAACATTCTGAACCCCTGGCTTGTCAACCACAGTCAGGAAGATGTCATGTTCCCTGCACCAGTGCCAAAGGGCTATTGCCTGCTTGCAGAGCTTGGCCAAAGTGTTGCCTCCCTGTTTGTTGACATAGTACACAGTTGCCACGTTGTAGGTGGCAACCTCCTCTACTTGGCCCACTAAGGATAGTAGGAAAGACCTCAGAACCCAATGCACTGCTAACAACTTGAGGTAGTTGATGTGGAGATGTTGCTCCATGGCAAACTGTCACCTGTGTGCATAAAGAGTCTCGAAATGGGCTCCCCAACCCCAAAATGAGGCATTCGTGGAGAGCAAAACCTCCAGGAGCTGCTGTCGGAATGGCATGCCTATCAAGAGGTTGCTGACTGACATCCACCAGAGAAGTGTGGAAAGGATATCTGGAGGGACGGACAGCACGGTCGATTGTAGCTGACAGTGAGGACTGAAGTAATGTAAGAACCACAGCTGGAGTGGTCTCATGTGTAGTCTTGCAAAGGGGACAACAAACGTGGTTGAGGCCATGCAACCTAGGAGATGTTGGATGGAAGATTTCGCTAATTTCGCCATGAACTCTAGAGCCGTCGTTCGCAGGGTGGAGGCCCTATCCACAGGGAGGCAGGCCCGCTGATGGATGGTATGGAGCTGGGCACCAATGAACTGGAGCATTTGATTATGCTGCAGAGAAGACTTGGCCAGATTGATGCATAGGCCCAGCCTGTCCAGAAGGTGGATATGGATAATGATGGCACCCCACCATGAAGCGGAGGTAGCAATGATGTTGTGGCCAGATGGTCACATGAAAATAGGAATCCTGGAGGTTGATGGATGCTAGGGGGTGGAGATTGGTACCCACAGGTGGGGTGGTGAGAGGCAGAAGGACAAGTTCATGGTGATGGGGGGAGTCAAAGAGACCTCTTGGAAGTTTGTGCAGGTATACTGGTGGAGTGTGTATAAGACGTAGCCTGGTATGATTGTTTAGCAGGGATAGGCTTCTTCCTCCAAGTGTCTGGTGCCTGAAGGGAATGCTGGTGTTTGGGGTAGGTCATTTTCCAGTGTTTTGGTCTGAACTGGCATTGGGCAGACCCCAAGTTTCCTTGCCTGCTTCCTCCTGTCATCCATAGTGGTAAGAGTTTCGTCAGTGGACGCATGGAATAGGCCTTCCCCATCAAAAGGTAGATCTTCCACCTTGGCCTTGATGTCAGGCTGAAGTGATGTAGATCTGAGCCACACATAATGATGCAGGGCAATGGCTGTAGCTAAGGTTTTAGAGGAGCAGGTGACCATATGTTTAATGGTGTTTATCTGCTGCTTAGACACTCTACAGGTCTCTGCTACCATAGAGGAGGCTGTCTGCTGGGAGGAGGATGGCAAGTCCTGATCAACGGAACAAAGTGGTTGGCAAGATGGAAACTGTAGGCTGCCATGCTTCCTTCAGACCTTCCTTCACTGCACAGGGAGCATAGGGAGAACAGCCACTGGAGACAACTCACATTGAACTAGTTTGTGCACTATGTTGGTGACCTTGGGAATATTGCTGGTCATTTGTACCTGCAAGGCCTTCGCCATACATGAAGTAAGTTCCAGGTATGACTTTGAGCCGTCTGATGGTGAGAGGGATCCCTGGTGGGCAACTTCAACTTCAGATCCCAGGGGACGTGTGGATGGGCTCATCCTTGTCCAAGTCCAACTTGTCGGTGCTGATGTCAGATGACTCAGAAGAGGTCTGTATATCCCCCGATAGTGGGGGAAGGTTTGGCAGCTGAATTGGATCAATGGTCTGAGAGAGGGAGCTGCGAGGAGCGGGTTTCGACTCCAAGGTTGCAGTCAGGTCATTGTGGTGCAAGAGAGATGGCTGTTCTACTAGATGGCTGGCATCGTGGCTTGAAGTTCTTGAACCCAACGGGTGGGTAGTTCGAAAGATCAGAGAGTGGTGGTGCAGGGAGTCGTAGCAAGACAACCATAAAATGGCACAGTGGCAATGGTACGGCGATCCATAGTGAGAGGTCCCGTAGGAGCACTGGGGGAACCTCGAAGGCGAGTGGATCCATGCATGTTGGTTTTGTTGTGGTCAGTACCAAGATGGAGATCGGTGTCGGGAGGAGGACCTTGAATCCAACAAATGTGTCTATGGCCACATCCATGATGTCTTTGGTGGGAAGATGATCTTAAGCTTCGGGCACAGTGGTAGTGTGTGCTATGGGAGCCAAAATGGCTCTGAGACCACCGCTCTGTTCGTGTATTGGAAAAGACTTCCTGGATGTCAGCAGGATGGTGGGGTCCCCTTGATTCCAACCATCAAGCTTGGAGCTGAACGTTTCCAGGCTGGGCCTCTCCTGATGGTGGGTGATGGTATGTTGGCCCAGAGGTACTTCTTTGAGCATGGCAAATGGAGTGACAATCGGTGTCAAGGCAGTCAAGATGGTCAGAGTAGAGGCCACAGTTGCGGAGGCATGCCAGTCAGACAGAGATAATTTGGCTGAGTGGGCTGTTGAGGTTGAAAGACCTATGATGACCAATGGCTTGACAGATGTTGATTTTGGGATATGCCTTGGTTTCTTCAGCTTTGGGTTCAAGGGGATCGGTTCTGAGGCCCTTTGGATGATTTGTCCTTTTTATGCTTCTTCGCAGCTGAAGTGGCCAAGTCCTCCAATTTCACCGAATCTCCCCTCGATAGTGGGGGAGGCAGTGTTGACTGGAACTGAAGAGTTGAATACCTTGCTGGACAAAGAGACAATTCCAGCAGGAATGTGTGAAGTCATGCTGCCCTGGGAGTAAACTTAGCACAGTGGGTAAAGGATTCTACCTGATGTTCCTTACCAAAGCAAAATAAGTCGTGACTGTCAAATGATGGTAGTTTGGCCCAGCAACCACGACGCATCTTAAAACTGTTCCTTCCATGCACTGTGCCCCCGAAGGAAGAAGGGGGGAGGGAGGGGGAAAACTCAAAAGTAATCCTTTAAAAAATATATATAGAAGTCCAAGAGAAAACATTAAAAGTAAAAGAAGACGAAGCGGCAGTAGAGGACAAATATCAAGGAGCTCGGATGAGGAGAGAACACAACGAGGTGCGGACAACGCGGTTGTTGAAAAGGAACTGAGCAGGAGGGCGCTTTCTCCTCTGCTCCATGGATGCACAGTAAACGCCTACTCCACAGAGCGTGGAGAAAAGTGCACCAAAAATGTTAGAGGCTAGTTCTGATAATTCTCCGAGGTTGGGTTCATGTGTAGCTGCTAACCCAAGCGTGGGACTGCACAGAAACCATGAAGAAGATCACCATATTCAAATCAACTACCTGCAATATGGACACCAGTTTTATGGATGGCCTGAGATGCCTTTGGGAATTTCCATAAGCAACACTAAGATTGTCACTGAAGACCAAAAGCAAAATTCTGAATGTTGGTAATGTTGGCAGAGTGTAGATATGCAGTAAAAGGGAGCACAAGCTGTTTAAAGCCTGTTTCTTAAGAAGACAGCAAACTTTGTAAGAAAGAGGAGCGAGAAAGAGAAATCTGTCTAGCTAGCTAGGAGGAAGTCAGTAACGAACAGAAGCTCAGCAGGTGCACTGAGCCAATCAGGTGACAGGAAAGAGACTCTTTGAAAATAGTAGGAAGTCCCTAATCTCACTATGCTAACTAGTTTAGCAAGATTTGTTGTCCCTTCTGCTGCCCCCTGCAGGATGTTCTTGCCATCTTCTCTATCTACACACAATAGACCTTGGATATTCCAACAGGTAATGCAACATAAAAAGCAGCCAACAAGAGTGTTTAAGTCAAAACTACAATCATGCAATTGAAGGAGATGGAAACATCAACCATCCTTAGCATCAGAGCATACAGGAAGCATTAACCACTATACTTGAATCTAAATGAAGAATCTTGTATCTGAACATTTAGGCTCTGTTTTTCTAGAAGGTTTTTTTTTTTAATTATCTAGGTTTACTGAAATATTTCTTCCTAGGAAATGAGAAAAAGTTCTTTGAAAATTCAACAAGGCATAAAAAGCCCCAGCTTAAGTTAGGCACAACTGATCCCCACGGCAAAGTTTCCTTGCAAGTAACTTACTTTCTGTTATTTTCAGTGGGACTTGGTCACTTCTAGTTATAGCTGGATCGGAGCCCTACATGACCTTTCGTGGGAATTCAGTCGGCTTCAGAGATTCCAGGATAGAACAAACCACTCTGATACACACTGGAATTAAACTAACACAACATTGTATCCCTAGAAATGCTAGGGATCAAGCTAGCCCAATTTTGTCAGATCTCGAAAGCTAAGCAGGGTCGGCCCTGGCTAGTATTTGGATGGGAGATTGCTAAGGAATACCAGGGTCGTGATGTGGAGGCGGGCAATAGGTTACAATCCTACATACAATTCATTGACTTAAACTGGAGAAGTGTGGTGCAGTTTTTTTAACAGAGTTATAAAACACTCTATAAAGTTGTTATAGAGTGCTGGACTATGACTTAGGAGACCCAGGTTCTAATCATGTAGACATAAAGCTCACTGGGTGATCTTAAAAAATCATCCTCTCTCAGACTAATGTACCATGCAGGGCTGTTGTAAGTATAAAATGTAAGGGGGAGAATCACATAATCTATCCAGAGCTGTTTGGAGAAAGGTTGGGATAGAAAAAAACTCTGACTGATACGATACGTCTAACGTTGTGCTGGCTTCTGGCCTGTGTCTGTGAATGAACATAAAAGGTAGTTAAAATCAAATACTCCCCTTCTGTCCACACTCATAATGGGATTCTGTGACAAATGTGTTTACTTAAAGCCCTTGAACATATTATAGCAACAGACCACAGTTTAGGGCTCAGTGAGTGTTCTGTAATAAAGTCTGCTCCTGAATACCATACCTCTTTCAAACTGTAACTTCTTGTACCTCTGCATGATTTCTGACGCAACCATACACTCGATCTGTTGTAAAGGAGGAGACAAAGAAGGAGCAGATTAACAACAGCCGTAACAAAAATCTTGCTTAACAAAGAGAGACAATGAATTTGGTGCAAGAATGACACAACAGCATTCTCTCCCCACCCCTGCCCCCAAGTGGCTCTGATATAACATACCAGGATTGTTATGTAAGAAGCTGCTTGTACTAAGAAACCTACTTCATTTTCTTGTAGGTGACCTCGCTTTGGGCAGGCCGCATCAGGGCAGCTAATTGCAGTTTCTAGACCTTCCTTGATCAAAAGCTCTACATACTGCTTCAGGCACTGTAAAAAAAGTCAAACATAAGTGTTGTAAATAATCCAGTAAATTAAGTATGATTTCAGAGTGCTATTAGATTTCTCAGCTAAACTGCCAAGGATGTAAAGGGCCTACCTGCCTTATATTTCTGCTTCCCTTTTTCATGGAAGAATCTGCTGTGACCTTCTGTAAGGAGGACCCTCTTTATAAGAAGGCCTCTTATAAAACCTGTATAAAACTTACTTGCACTTATTAGCCAAGTTCTGACAATGTCTAAACTGACCAGGGTGGGTGGGTGATGGTGACAGAACTAAGAAAGCTAGTTGGGATCCCAACGACTTTAGGCTTGAATGTGCCCAAGAGGGACTTTCAACAGCAGAATATCCATGTCAACTAATCAGCTCAGTTTCAAAATCAGTTTGACATGTTTAAGGGGGAGAGTGAACAGAAAAGGAGTTCCTGTTCAAGAAACAAACCCTTGGTCACAAAACCACAACTGTTTATACCGTTCTTTTAGTCCTGGCCTTTGATCGGAGAGCACTACAAGACGTGTAAAAAGTTAACAGTAAAAAACAAAAAGAAAACAACTGCAGTAGCTTTATTCCCTGATTTTTCCATAGTCCTCTGCAGGATGCTCTTAGAAATATTGTTCCCAATTTCAAACATACAACGATGGAGCATTTTCTTTTATAGTAAGTGGTTTACATAAAAATGCAAGTGAAAAAACATTCTGAAAGCTATTTTGGAAAAGATGCTGGTAACACACCCACATAGAATTAATACACACTCACTGGTGATCTCTACCCTCCCATTTTGTATACTTACATTTTATTAATTTTTTAATATATTTATCAACTGATACCAAGTTTTAAGCAACTTCCCACACCAGCATTTCTTGACACCTGGAATCTGGGAGGTTCTCGAGGAGGTCTGCTCTTGTGATCATCTAGGTAACATTAAAATGTAGCCTCACCCATTTTTCTAGGTACGTGAGAGCAGAGATGCTTTGTATCAGGGGAAGGGCTCAGAACTGGCTTCCCTCTCTTTTGAAGGGTGGGAGCTTATAGAGCTGCTACTGCCCACAGGACTGGACTTCTAAATAACCCGAGAGCATAAGCCAAAACAATTGCTGCTTAATTATGGGGATTCAAAAGCTCAGCCCTAGGAAGTATGATTGGCTGAGTGATACCAAGGAGGTACAGTCCTAAAATAGCATCAGGTAAAAAACTGAAGTGGTTTCTTACTCTGTTTTCCAACAGAAAGGGTTTTATCAGAAATCCACAGACAGTAATATGTGATTGTGATTTTTGATTGTCTAATAGAAGTTCAGGTTTGTGTGATGCTTGTCTTTTTCTAATTCTATAAGCAGCTCTGAAAGTTTTCCCAGCCTCCTTTCCACTTTGTTCATTTGGCCCTTCTAATCGGGGTGAGGTTGATTAGAACTTAGAATTGAGGTCAGGGCCTTCTCTGAAACAAGGACAAGGTTTTACTTACGCTTACTTTTGAAATGTCATTGATGTGGCTTTCTCTGCGCAGTTTTGAGTTCACTAGAGAACACAGGCCTTCATGGGCCATGCACTGGATGACTTTTGAAGGGGGCTGCCTGTCAATGGTGGGAGCGAGAAGGGAAAGGCTTGGAAGTGCACCGCCCCTCCCGAAGTGTCCCCAGGTTGCTAAAGTTTGAGAACAACTTTGAGAACTTTTTTTCACCCCTCACCATCACTCCCAATTTCTTCCATAACACATTTAGTATTTTTAGTTGAGATTTCAGGGTCAATTCTAAAAGATGATTAAACAAGAAATGAAACTACCTACGTGGATAAATCTGTATTCTGCTTTAGCTCTTTCACCTGGCAGGGATGCACGTCAAATGGTACTCCTTGTTTTTCCTTTTTCTGTGTATATGTCCATATCTCATTTTCTTTACTACTCCAATGGGACAGGAGTGTCTTCAAGACAGCTCCAACTGGGACTTTAGAGTCAGTTTCCCTTGCGTCACTCTATGTTGCAAGACTTCTCTCTCTCTCCCCTTCAAACCTACTCACTACAATTATGGCAGGATCAGCCTTGCCCACCCTACTCCAGTTTCTCTTTTCCTATTCCTTCCTGAAGAAGAGCTTTGTGCAAATCAAAAGCTTGCTAGTATACCCTACAAAATGAGTCTGAAAAACAAACAAATGCAGGATAAAATCTTAATCCTCTGGGAATCCCTCAGCACCTTAGCAACCCAAGTCATCTTTTCAGAAACTCAGGCAAGATTTACAAGCAGAATTTTAAAGAACTTATCAGTAGTAGCAGAAAACACTGTTCATGTTAAGTTTATTACAAACTTCATGTTACACACAACCCACTCCCAATTCTGTGACCCACTTCTCATCTGCCTGCTATCCCTAAATGCTACTTCTTAATAAATACTTGCTTTCAGCCCATCCATTGTGAAAGCAGAGCCCCTGGATTGCAATCAAGTTCTTGAGACATTCTTCTTTCAAGGAATTTCCTTTGCTCTAAGAGAATGAGGCAACTTCCTTTACCAACACAATATACTTGAATATTTTTAAAGCGACAGGCATTCTGGTCTTTGTCAGGCTTCTAAGTCACCTCCATGCTCTGCTTTGACCAGTAAGCAGAAAACTAGAAGAAGCAGTTTAGGATGCATACATGCACCATGTTAATATACTTTGGTACAAATTAGGAAGAGTTTGAGCATCCCTTGGAGATAAGGCAGGTTATTACCCCACACCAATAACCTAAAAGCAATCTAAATACACTACATGTTTTATTCTAGGTTCTGAAAACTGAAGTATTCAGGTGGCCCATTTATGCTTCAGTGCGCAGGCAGCGCTCATGGAGAAGGCTGTTCCGTACATTCACTCATTTTGTAAGCAGAGCTGCACCCTCCACTGAAGTAACTGGAAAGCACTGGCAGGCTGGGAAGCTATGTGCAAGCATCATGAAGAACCCCCCCCCCCCGAAAACACTAGACAAAACAAAAAACCCCCACCTTTAAACCCCCCCTCTCCAGAAATCACTAGACAAAACAAAAACCCCACACCTTTCTTCAGGAAGACACTATGTTAATTGTAATCAGCCACACTATTCTGCATTGCAGGTTCAACTGAAGAGGTATAATGGGCATCTATGGCAGGGCTCTACAGTATATATTCTGCACTAGTACTCCATTTCAAATGCTGGATATTTAATTAAGAGGGCACTGTATACATTTTTAATGACAACATTTAGTGCTCATAGAGCTCTTTGAGCTCTGAGTCTACTTTACAATTATGAATGATTAATTTTTTAAAAAGCCTTTTTCCCATGCTGATTAGTAATATTGCTGAAGTTGCCAGAATTTTCTTTCTGTCATCTTCAAGAAAAAGGAGGAAAACTGCATAGCACATGTGGTTTAGACTTTCAAGAGTCAAAATGTCGGTTAGTGAAGTCAGAGAGGATGTTAATCCCTTGTTTTGTTTCTAGTATTTCCCAGTTTACCCTCCCTCATTAGTAAAGTTTCTTGTTTAAAAGCTAATACAAGTGTTCTGCTGCATTTATTACCTCTGCTTTTACATGGAAATCCCTAACAAAAACAGATCCCTTTCAATACCCGACACACAAACTGCATTCAGATAGCCATGGGATGTATTCAGACAACCTTGTTCCTCATAAGGAGATAAGTAATGAAATGTCACGAAATTGCCACCATTTGTACACACAGTTGTAACAGATGTTCCAGATTACATTGATATCAGTCTGCTGTTCTGCCCTCTTTACCTGTCAAAGTTCTCCCCTGCTCCAGCTGTTTTCTTGCTTCTTTTTGTTTTGGTTTGTTTTTGTGAAGAACAAAAATGCAGTCTTGGTACAGATCTCTGTGGTGTATGGATATTCTTTGTGCTCCTGTTTTACCATGTTCTCAGGATAAGGTGTTTTGGCACATCAAAAAGTAGCCCAAGTAGTCAATCTGTGGCCCCGTTCACATGGAGCATCTGCCACGCTAAAGAGACGGATGATAGGCGGATTTTCCGGGCGCGATCACACCGCAACATCTGGGAAGCGTAGTGCTCCCGTGGCTAGCCCGTGGCTTCCCACCGAGGATGCACGTTAAAAAACTAGTACCTCCAAGGTACTAGTAAATGTTTGCCACGGGCTGCCTCCAGACGCCGTGGTGTGATTGCGCCAGCGCGCAGCATTCCCCTCCGGTCCCTCGTTTACCTGCCGGCGCCGAGGGAAGGACCCATGGTGTGCCGCCGGTGCATCTAGAAAACCCTTTCCAGGCCTACTTTGGCCTTTGTGGGCAACTCACTGGGGTCAGTCCTGACTAGAGTTGGCAGATCCAGGTTGGGAAATTCCTGGAGATTTTGTGGTGGAGTCAATGGAAGCCAGAGTTTGGGGAAGGGAGAGGCCTCAGCTGAATAGAATCCCATAGTGTCCACCCTCCAAAGCCGTTATTTTCTCCAGGGGGCATACCAGGTAATCTCTTCAGGCTCCACCTGGAGGTTGGCTACCCTAGATCTGGCAGCGTCCTCTGGGCAACTTAATGACACCTGACTGGCATGACTTTAGGATGCCTGGCTGCTTGCTCCTGATCACCAACAGCAGCCCCCCAAGACAGTCAGTGTGGCGCAGCAGTCAGTGCTGCAGAGCAGGGTCTGCCAGACCCAGGTTATTGCTGTTGAAGCTGAGTGGTGATTTCAGGCCAGTCACAGACTTTCAGCCTAACTTACCTCACAGGGTTGTTGTGCAGATCAAAAGGGGGAGAGGAGAATGATGTAAGCACCATTGGTTCCCACTGCGGAGAAAGACTGTACTTTTCCTGCTGGGGAACCATTGTTGCCAATCTTCAGGTGAGGACTGGAGATCACTCAGAATTACAACTGCTCTCCAGATGGCAGAAATCAGTTCCCCTGCTGAGGTGGTGCAGGGTCTGCTAGACCCAGGCTCTTGTTGTGGATACTCATTGGGTGATTTCAGACCATCACAGACTTTCAGCCTAACCCACCTCACAGGGTTGTTGTGCAGATCAAAAGGGGGA